AGTGTGAAATAGTGTGAAATGGTTCGATTGCCTGATGTTGATTGACGAAAAAGCCATTCTTGACGATCTACTTTCACCGTGTCTTGCATTCCACAGCTAGCATTAAGAGTGGGCCGTAGTTTTCATTGCTCCTAGCCTTCACTTCAATCTCAAATGGGCCTAGAGGTGAGGACGCATCCGGCCAGAGCGAGACACACCACACCCTACACCACACCCTACACCACATAATCCCGATGCCCTTAAGTTACGATACGTTGTGGAAGTTTTCCCACTGAAGAGGTGAAACAAATAGGCCTTGCTCCCCAATGTGTCTAACTCGAACCTGTACCTTAATCGTGCCAGGGCCGTTTTTGCCGTATGCAGTAAGCAATATCTGTGATGAGTGGAGAATGGAATTTTTGAAGAAATCTGGTATTCTCTTTCATTTGTTGCAGACATGTGTATATACAGCACATATATGGAGGAATGAGGAAGGGACGCCAGAGGAGGATGGAAGAAACCAGACGAACCGAGACGATGCTCTTTCCGGCATAGCCGGACATAGAGAAGAGCGGTAGATAAATAAGTTATTAAGAAAAATTGGGTTTCGAAGACTACCTTAGTTATATATTGTGACATGACTTTTATTTCGAAAAATAAGGAATTCGTGATGTGGTCTCATGGGGAACCGAATGAGGAATGTAACGTAGGGAAGACTGTTGAATTGTGTGAAGAAGTCCTCGGCTCACCATTTTGTGACCCAGATGAAGCTAGCAGATGTAAACCACAGGGACCAAGAGATCGGTTGATTGGGGCATATACTGTCTCAAAAGAATTATTCATTAGGATTAGTAGACACTTGTATATAAATTGTCAGTAGTAAGATAATAGCAGTTCGCAATCTGGGGCGGGATAGACATTTGGACAATTCTACTCGTTTCCTGATTTTACCTTCCTGATAGCTTGTAAAAGTTTGGGTAATCTACTGAGGAAGTGGAAGAAAAAAACAATGTATAAATAGAAATTAGCACTTTCTTCAGCAGTTCTTTTCCTTAGAGAATATTCAGACCCTCCTTCCAGATCAGGCTGTTACAAGGTCTTGTGCTCATTTAGTGAGGTATATGTGGGGGAGACCTGCCAACCCATTCATAGGAGACTATGCTATGTGTGTGGGTCCAAAAGTCACATTTTGCCAATGCAGGACACTCAATAGACTGGTCCAAAACGCAACGTTTTGCGGATTACGGGGACTTTCAATCGAAACGTAAGATTATGGAGTCTATAGAAAGGAGCAATACAACCAACTTCCTGAATAGGAGCAACGAGTGTAGAAAGCTAGGTTGGAACATTTTGTGGCATTTAGATAGACTTAAGAAGAGGGAGATAGAGTGGGTGCAGGAATAGCCAATGAGCAAGAGAGGGAGGCTGGCTTTGACTATCACACTTCCCATCACATGAGCTTTATATACACACAATAGCACAAGTCCAAAAATGATTAAACATCAAAACATTGTACACTGGTTTATTTGTGTGAGGAAAAAAACTGACACCGAACGCACTTCCGGCTCGGAAAGTAACTTCACTCATTTGCAAGCATGTAGAGCAAAGTTGAATTAGCCAACCAGATCATGGGAGGACTCATTACAATCGCGAGGTTAAGTGTATAAAAAGGGCGATTAGGGTTGTAACCGGCCACCTTTTTTCTTCGTTTAGCATATTTTTGATCTATTCCGTAAAGTATGGATTCTTTCTCTGATGATGTATGCCAGGGTGGTACAGAAGAACGCTTAGAATCTCTTCATCGGGCTCACAGGACGGTGAGCCGAGGACTATTTCGCACAATACAACAGTCTTCCATACGAAGTTGTTTGACCTTGTCATATTAGTAGGAAGACTTAGAGGAACGCACCTAGTCCGGAGTCCATTGTATGCATGATCATTTCCAA